GAAAACCCACGGCCTGCGTTCTGGACCGTGCAGATCGAAACTCCGATCCACGGTCCAGATCGCAGGCCTCGAAAACTGGTTCAGTCCTTGGCCTAAAACGGCCTGCCTGGGTCCCTACCGGACGTCCAGGCCATGTCCAGGATTAATCTTCCTGGTACCTGGCTTCAAACCGGTCCTGTGCGGACGTACCCGGCCTCAACGTTGGCCTGGGTTCGAACAGGTCAAAATCTGTTCCAAAACAAAAGAAAAGGTCCAAACGTTTTTAGGAGCTCAGCCTCTGGGCCTGAATCTGGCCCTGGCCCTAGAAGCGTGTACCTGGCCACAAAACGGACAACAGTACACCCGTTAGAAAAACAGCAGCAAATAAATAAAATAAAGACTATAAAAATAATCTAAAGCTGGCGTTTTTCTGATGCAGGCCCAAGTAAAAATGCCATAGGGCCTTCAGGTTGCGGTGACGCGACCTGGGGGCCCTATTCCAACCTCGGGTCCCGTGAGGGGCCCGTGTGTAGGCTTTCAGCATGTAACAGGTAGTGACCGCGATACTCCTGAGAAAAGTCCGGCAACTCTTCTCAACATCCCTGCAATCCAATCCCCTGGCAAGAATGACATTCAGTCGGAGAAACCCGTCTGTGTGCGTGTGTGCGTGACAACATGCTGTAGGGACTTCCGGATGCTTGAGTCAGTAAACACACAGCGCAATGCGCACATCACCTGCGCCACACAAGAACGGGAGAGAGAGAGAGAGAGAGAGAGAGAGAGAGAGAGAGAGAGAGAGAGAGAGAGAGAGAGAGAGAGAGAGAGTTCTGTCGGACTTCCGGGTGTATTTAAGACTTCCGGATGTGTGAGTCAGTAAACACACAGCAGCGCAATGCACAAATCACCTGCAACACACAAGCACAAGAGAGAGAGAGAGAGAGGGTGGGGGTGGGGGGGGGGGAGAGAGAGGGATAGTGCTGGAGAGAGAGAGAAAGAGGGAAGAAGAGAGAGGCAGAATGAGAGAGAGAGAGAGAGAGAGAGAGAATGCCTCACACACTAACGTGCACAGCATGTTTTCGTTTGTTTGTTTGTTTTATCAAACAATCAATCAATGATCAATGAATCAGTCAATCAATCAAGTAGGTGGTGGTCCTTTGTACAAAAAAAATGTGTACGTTTTGCGAACGTGTCTCCAGAGGAGCTGAACATTGAGCGGTTGCTGGACTTGAATGCCCGTAACCCTGCAAATAGCCAAATAGCCAAATTGGCAAAATTTAATGCAAACATGTCTCCAGAAGGGCCAAACATTCAGTGGTTCAGGCCAAACCGCTGGACTCGAATGCCGGTAGCCGTGCAAATAGCCAAATAGCCAAAATAGTCCGGCGACGGACAGCGTCAACTATTCTATGCAAGCTGTCTGCTTTCCCGTGCCAAATAGCCAAATAGCCAAATAGCCTAAATGGTCCGGCAACAGACAGCGTCAACTATTCTATGCAAGCTGTCCGCTTCACCGTGCCAAATAGCCAAATAGCCAAATAGGCTAAATAGCCAAATAGCCAAATAGCCAAAATGGTCCGGCAATGGACAGCGTCAACCATTCTATGTAAGTTGTCTGCTTTCCCATCACTCACACTCAACGAGTCTCCACAGGCCCCCAGCCAAACCAAATAGCCAAGCCAATAGCCAAGCCAAATAGTCAAACAGTCAAGCCAAATAGTCAAATAGCCAAGCC